CTTCCACGCCTTTAGGATCTGTTCTTATACTTAATAATTAACAGCCTGTGGACTCTGCCTCCTCATTTCACACAATAGCCTAAAGAAAATATCTTGTGAAATTGGATGTTGAACCAAAGTGGGTTTTGAGAGGAAGTAAACTCACGTTTTCTCTTAGGCCTGCTGCCCAATAGTAGTATCTCTGGCTATTACTGCACAGGAGGAAGGTTTAAACCATTTATAGCAGAAAGTGTTTTCATACCCTTTAGAAATACCCATTAGTTTATCTATAAGTAATATTAATTGTAAACTATTTGCTATTTATTAAAGCCAGTTTTCCAAGTATCTTTCAAACAATTACCTAGTTCTGGTTTATTTCCTTTAAGGAAGTTTTTGAAGTCATTATTTTGTCTTTCCTTCAAATTAGTCTTAATTAGTTGGAATTTACTATATTGTGTGTTTTTTAATTTCTCTTTCAGTAGTATATTCTGGTGTTTTACTGGATTTAGAAGGGTGTGGGGGTACTACACTGGCTTTGTGAAGTATAGGTGTATGATTGGACTCTGACTATTGGCACCCCAATGCTCATCACCATTTCAAGGCATCTCTTCATAATTCTTTCAAAAAAGATGACCGTTGCTAACTTCAGAGTAGGAATGTACTATAAGAGAATATTCTGAAAAAAAGAAAAAAGCAGAAAACTATGAGATTGTGCCTTTTTTTCAATTGAGTCAGGAGGAAGGGTAAAGAGTTTAATGTGTCAAGGTTATAAGAGGAAAAACTATATGGAATGTGGAAAGGAAGATTTGTGAAAATACCAAAAGAAGTTGGGTCTTAAGCTCCCCTGCCCCCGCTCCGCCCCCCGCAAAAAAATTCTGCTGAAATAATTGGACAGAGACAGTCACTGGCATTTGGGGAGGAGACAGAAAGCGGCCTCTCCCTGCCCTCATTCTGGTGGGAGAGTTGCTGGTTTTGTAGGAGCCACATGATAACTTTTAGAGAAAATAAAGTACGGCCTTAAAAAATGGAGCATTTCATAGAATCTAAATTTTCAACTTTTTGTCTTCCTCTTATAGCAAATCCAGTTTGCTGATGACATGCAGGAGTTCTCCAAATTCCCCACCAAGACTGGTCGAAGATCTTTGTCTCGCTCCATCTCTCAGTCCTCCACTGACAGCTACAGTTCGGGTAGGTGCGCTTCCTGTCCTCTCTGATCTCCCTTCTCTGTTCCAGAGCCTTAAGCTAGTTCTCTCCCCAGGGCTCCCTTATCTAGAATCCAAAAATACCTCATGTCAGGACTGCCCGTCTTTGTGCTGAAAGCTGATAATTAGTGGTTAGGCCATGGGAATGTTCCCAGCCAGCCTTGTAGCTGGGGACGCTTTTGTCATCTAGAGGCTTTCTTCCCCCAGCTGCCGCTGCGTGAGGTCTGAGGCCAGTTCCTGGTCGGTGGTTCTGGGCCGGCTCCCACTCCCACATGTATCTGCCCATGTTACAAAAGGAGAAAATCAGTGGCATTTTGGCGGATGGAACAGGCCTTGAAAAGAGGCGTTCTTTTGGAAGCAAAATTTCTAATTTTTTTTATGTAAGACATACTCTAACTTTTTCTTTCTTATCTCCAAGACTGCTTGAATTATAACAGTAAAAATTAGTGTTTTGGTTTCTTTCATTTACTAGGTTACCCTTTACGTTGAAGTGTTCCTCCCTGTCAGCCTCCAAAGTGGGAAAGATCCAAACTACTATAACGTGGCTCCAGCGCCGTTTCTTTTTAGTTCTTCTCTCCTGTGTCAGCCCTGTATGAGTGGTCTCTCTTCTGGTTTGAATTGTGCCCTTCTCAGCGTTAGAGGGGGTACTAGAAAATTAACGTGGAAAAGGATATAGAAGCTTAGAATTTGAGTAGCGGAGGAGCCCAACAGCGAAGGATCCACCAGGGCACGCAAGCCCCACATGTTCAACTGAGGAGACGTTGTTAAAAGATGAAGAAGTCCGCCCAAAGTCAGAGGTTGCCATTAATGTCAGCAAAGAAATTTGTACCCAAACCATTTCTTGTCTTTTGCCAGTATATTGTTTGCATTGTATTATTAACATTAAGGACTAGACTTGATATATAAGGAATATAAAACAACAAGTAGACAAATAAATTTTATATACTTATTCTCTGCCCTGTGCCACTGATAACCCAATATAGACAGGATAGGCAGACAAGAGCAAATGGTGATATACAGGGCTGAGTACTGAAACGAATATACAGACTCACTGAGAGCCTGTGTGCAAGAAAAGGTTCTAAATATACTGGCTATCAAATGATAAGGTGTCTTGGAGTAACAGATACAAAGGTGGGATAGGCTAATTGTAGCTAAGAAAGAATTACTTGTGAAAGATTGAGTTATACGAGGAAGGAGATGGAATGAGCGGGGAAAGCTCTAAGGACGCTGTCAAAGGTCTTGATAGCCATGTGTTATGGGAACCCACTGGAGCATTTTTAAAAGCTCAGTGATATAGTCAAATTGCCCTAGGACATAGATACCTTTAGGAGTACTGTATTGGCGGGACAGAAGTATTTATGTTAGGTAAGAGTATATAGAAGTCAGTGAGAGAGACCCGATTTCAGTGATCAGGGAAATATTCAATTCCGAGAGTAAAGAATGGTTTGAGAGATAAGGCGTGCTTATTGTATATCCTCCTCCATCTCTATCTACAAGGACATTTGTAGCTTTTACGTGAAGCTGTGTTGTAAAGTTGAACCTCTCGAGTGATCTTAGGGCTCATAACAGAACCAGAGCTGCTCACCTTTTGTGTCATTCCTTTCTACCTCTATTTTTTGAGCACAACCTAGCGTAAAATTTACCCTTGAAAGACCGTCTTGTCACTTTCGTCCAAATTAGTGGTTCTCAAAGTGTGGTCCTCTGAGCAGCAGCATCAGCAGCGCCTGGGAACTTGTTAGACTTGGGTCCCACCTGAGACCTACTGCATGGGATTTTGGGTGGTGAGGCCTAGACAACTGTGTTTTAACAAACTTTCCACATGATTCTGATCGATGCTTTATATGCTTAAGTTAGAGACTGGTGATCTATAGATAAAGCATTCCTTATGTGCCCTAAATTATTCTTCCTTTTTGCCGTGTCTGGTTCCATTTCCAGTTGGGACCAAGTGTTCCTATTATCTGGGATTCACTAGGGCTAGTGCCAGATTGAGATCAGTAGCTCCTTATCATAAGCACTAATGGCAAGAGTATCATCAGGGTGGGTAAAAAGGCCACAACCCTAAAAGTCCATAACAGTTTCATTCATATCATTTATTAAACCCTGGAAAAGTAGTACTGAGAGTGATGTAAAAGGTGACTCCAATTAAGAGTGTTGGCTTAACTTAAATGAGAGTCCCTTGGGGACCGCACTCGGTGGAGTTGGGGCCATTGAGGTTTTTCTGTCCTTGTGTCTTTCTCTCCTGCCTTTAGCTGCGTCCTATACAGATAGCTCTGATGATGAGGTTTCCCCCCGAGAGAAGCAGCAAACCAACTCCAAGGGCAGCAGCAATTTCTGCGTGAAGAACATCAAGCAGGCAGAATTTGGACGCCGGGAGATTGAGATTGCAGAGCAAGGTAAAGAAAGGGAGTGGGTAGGGGACCGGAAGCCACCCATTGCTGGTCATCAGGATCCACAAACAATTTAAGGCTTGAGAGCTAGCTTGAAAGTCTCCTGGAAAATCCAGTATCCTGGACTCTTGTTCTAACAGATCTCTCTATATGGAACTCGAGCCTCAGGATTCTTGTTCTTGTTCTCCCTGCTTCCTGTTCTCAGCGTGGGGTAATTAGACAGAGTAGTTTCTATTCCTCCCATCCCCCGTGACACCATATTCCGAGATCTACTTGCAGAGTCAGCAAGTCTTGGGTCACTGCTACATGGTGGTTAGTTCTGTGGGATCCTACCATAGCTGCCAGTCTCTGAGACCCAGATTCCCAGAAGCAGCAGATGTGGGAGGGTTTTCAGCCCAGGATGTGGTGACCTAGGGTCTCATTTGATCTCTGGTCCTGAGCACCCTCTGCTGGAGCAAGAGTAAAAGTGACTAACAATCAGTTAAATCTTGGTCTCTCCACCCCACACCCAGGAAGGTCTCTTTATTCTTTTGTTGCTTTCTCGCTGAAAGTATGTTCCGTACTGGGAGAGAGTATGGAAACCAAAGAGACTGACAGAGTAGAGTTAGAGGCTGGAAAAACAGATGCAGGTGGCTTCTGCTGAGGGTAAAGCTCTTCCCGGTATGATAGTTTCATCTAGGAGCCCACTAGCCAATGCCATAACAACTTCCTTCTCCCAAATGAATAATTCGACTCAGCCTCCATTTGATCAGTTTTGGGAATTTATTCTCTGTTCAGTCCTCTGCCTATAAGGCTGAAACAGGAGAGGAAGAGAGACAATCTGAGCGATTGGATAAAAACCCTCTTCTGTCGTTTTGCTCTTAAAGCTCCCAGTTACCACAGAACTATGCTTAGAGTTTTTCTAACTTCTCTCTATGTTCTAACTGTATTTCAACAGATCCAGACCGGTCCCAGCTGTTGCTGGGGCAGGAATCGATGTTACTGCTAGTGCAGACCTAGCTCAAATCCTCTGTTCTTTCACAGACATGTCTGCTCTGATTTCACTCAGGAAACGTGCTCAGGGGGAGAAGCCCTTGGCTGGTGCTAAAATAGTGGGCTGTACACACATCACAGCCCAGACAGCGGTGAGTTCGGTGGGGGAAGAGAGAGAGACTTCTGATGAGGGGGAAAAATACTTTTTTTTTTTTTTAACTCGTTTTTTCTTCCGTGTCTGTCTGACCTCCCAGTGCTGTTAGGTGGGACTTCCCTGTCACACAGTATGGGGTTTCCTAGCTTGTATAGGTGCAACCTGCTTTCAAGAAACCTGATGTAGGGAGATCTAGATTTACAAAAATACGATTGTTATAAAAATGTTAAGACTTTTCAGAACATCCCTCTTGGGTGACGTTAGATACTGCCGTGGGACCTAGCTGGATCGCACCCTCTTGGAACTCCCTGGTGTAGCACCTGTTACTGGGAGCCGCTGGGTATTGTTCTCTTACATGCCACTCCTGTCTGGCCCTTCTCCTTCTCACCCTGTCCTGCTGTACATCTGCACAGGTGTTGATCGAGACTCTCTGCGCCCTGGGGGCTCAGTGCCGCTGGTCTGCATGCAACATCTACTCCACTCAGAATGAAGTGGCTGCAGCACTGGCCGAAGCTGGTGAGTTCAGCTTTTTTTTTTTTTTTTTTTTAATACCAACTTTGCCTCAAAGTAATTATCCAAACAGAATTTTTATTTATCACAGTTATCTTTACAGTGTCTGCCTAGAGGCTGTAAAATTTGGAGGACAATAAAAATATCAACAGGAAGAAAATAGATAATAAAATTATCTGTATCCGTGGTGTAATATTATTAGTCATTAACGACAATCTTTGAAAAGAACCTAGTTACATGGGAAAATGCCCAGTACTAATGTTAAATGGATATAGAAGAATATTAAACTGTATGAGCTATAGAAGTATGAGCTCAGCAGGTCTCCTTTCACCGTAAGTCTAATCACTTTGAGAGAATATAAGAAGCATCTTCTGTATTGACAGTTCCTTAGATACTTTGGTATTCAGTATTGCTTTGAAAATGTATGGGCCATTTGTGAGTTCAATTAAACAAAATAATTTTTATTGTTAAAATGTCCAGAAGAAAATCATCAGGAAGTTTCTTTAAGGATCCCCCATCTTCCTAGGAGCCTCAGAAAGCAACTTTATAATGCTTTTGTTTTTTTTGTTTACTCTTTTCTGGTGTTTATTGCAGAAAATTTAGAAAGTCCAAAAAAAAAAGAACAAACATAAACCTGATACAGAGATAATATCTGACTAATTTTTTTTTCTAGTCACTTTTTACAGAGATGAAATAAATCTCAGTATGTGTACAATTTTATAACTTAAATATAACTATCAGAAGCAGTTTTCCATGTCACCGAATACTTTGACAGCGTCGTTTGTCATACTCAGTCACATGGACGTGTGACTTGACTTCACTGTTTTCCTCATGTTGAACATTTAGATCCTTTCGAGATATTTGCTAATGTAAATAACGTTCTAGTGAACAACTTCATTTTGATTTCCACTGCATTTTATCTCCTTAGGGTCGAGTTCCAAGTGTAAAACTGGCCAAAGAATAACATTTTAAGGTTCCAAAATACTTTTAGAAACAAACATCCCTTAAATTCTTAACCGGTTTCTAAACTAAAGGTACTGTTTTGACTTTTTGCCCTTCCTAAGTTGTTTCCTTTGCAGCATAGTTTCTGTAGCCTTTCCCTTTCCACGTGGAGCACAGAAAGTGACAGTGGTATAGGACACGCCCTCAGGAGGAAGCCCCTGACTCGTTTCTGTCTCTGTAGGAGTCGCAGTGTTCGCGTGGAAGGGCGAGTCGGAAGATGACTTCTGGTGGTGCATTGACCGCTGTGTGAACATGGATGGGTGGCAAGCCAACATGGTAATCATGCGTATTCATCCTACACCTTTGTCAATAGATTCGTTTCCTTTTTTCCCTCAAAGCATGGTTCCCTGAATATGTTTTGGATGTTTGGTCTTATGCACTTACTTCGTTGCCAAAGTGTTCAGCTTGATACCTATTCAGAATGGGTCTGAGTACTGAATGGACAGATGGGGGCAGGGTAAGACTAACCGAACACGTGTGGCTCAAACACAGCAGCATAAAATAGAAGGAAATGATGTGGTACTGCTATGGAGTAGGATTCTGGTTTCTTCCTTCCTGCCCCAGCTCTCCTTTTCCATTCAAAGGGCGATATAGTTCAAGACTCTAGACTAAAAATGAGTGTGCGTTAGCATAATACTTACTCTTCCCTGGAGCCTAGAACAAACTTAGGAATCCCTTTAACCATTTACACCAACAAATTTGACTGTATTTCCAGTTAGACTGTGTCTAAACCTGCTCCCAGGAGCTCTGAGGTGTGCTCTTCCAAAACATACAGGGCTCTCTTACTAGTCCAGAAAGTGGGTTCAAAGTTCCCCCCAGCTCTAGCAGCCTGAATGCCCATAGAAGTCTTCTGGCTGTTCTGTAGATCCTGGATGATGGGGGAGACTTAACCCACTGGGTTTATAAGAAGTATCCAAACGTGTTTAAGAAGATCCGAGGCATTGTGGAAGAGAGCGTGACTGGTGTTCACAGGTAACAGATTCTGGAGTAGCCGCCCCTCGTGTCCTCGCCTCAGCAGATTCTTCTGGTCTCTGTCAGACTTCAGGGCTGTGTTTCAGACTCGTAGCAACTAAATGGGAGTGTCTTCGTTAGATCAAACTTTTGAGTTTTTACTTTCGAACAACTGAGGCCCTAAGAGGAAGTTATTTCAGGTTCTAGTCCTCACATTTTCTCTCCCACTTATTCCACTGTGATTCTCAACCAGTGTTGGGAAGTAGGGAGTGAGCATATCTTGAGAAACTATATTCAATATTGTATTATAATTTTATATTTAAAATAGGAAAAAATGCTCTTGTAAAACTATACATTATACACACTACAAAAATAAACCTGGGCAAAATATTCCTGGCTTGTCAGAGTAACTAAAAGATATCTGAAAAAGTGTTTCTCGATTGGGAGCACGTTGCACGTGCTCTCACACACACACACACAGGGGACTGTGTCAGAATCATTGATAATCTTCGTTTATCAGAAGTAGGCATGGGTTTTTTAAAGATTGAGAAAATGCTGATCCAAGGGAATACATCACCTTTTATGGAAGAGAAATAAATTTCTTCAATATAAAGGTTTTCTGCCTTCCAGAAAAAAGAGGGAGAGGCGGTGGAGAAAATGAAGTGAGGAGGGATGACAAATCATCTTATTTACAAATGTCCTTGGGCAATAAATAAGACTGGGGAGGGCAGCATGGAGCTTGAAGAGAATTAGGCAGATTTTGCCACATATTATGTTTCACCAGCTAACTTTGTTTTCCTTTGTTTTTGTGGCTTCTTCCCCTTTTAGGCTGTATCAGCTCTCCAAAGCTGGGAAGCTCTGTGTTCCAGCCATGAACGTCAATGATTCTGTTACCAAACAGAAGTTTGACAACTTGTACTGCTGCCGAGAATCCATCTTGGATGGGTAGGTTGAAGTGTACAGATGGTCAGAGTCATTGGCGGTAGATTTGGGTTGGGTGGCAGTGTCGGTCTGTGTCGCTCCAGTCTTGTCCCCTGGTCTTCATTTAGCTTTAAAAGCTTGTTAGAGGGGTCCATTTCATACTGAGGCAGCCAGCTTCCAGTTGCACTTCCGGTGGAATATGGCCCCACACTTTAATTTGGTGCAGAGGGACTATGTTTGAGCTAATAATGTTTGAGTTGAGCCCTTGTCTGTTTCCACAGCCTGAAGAGGACCACAGATGTGATGTTTGGTGGGAAACAAGTGGTGGTGTGTGGCTATGGTGAGGTAAATAGCTGGGTCTTAGTGTCTGTCTGTTTATAGACTTAATCAGAAATGTTGAGTGAAGACTTATCAGTACAGTCACTGGTGCAGGCTTTAAAATATGCTTTTAGATAATGTATCTCAAAATAATAGCAACAGTCTTTTGTTTGAGTTTATGAATAAAGACATACAGAGTGAGTTGAGTTTTCAGATTTCACCACTTTGCCTTGTGAAATGGAATGTTGGCATCATTTTTCCCCATTTATAACAATAACCTTTCATGATATTTAATTCAAGCGACTGTGTAGCATTTCAGCCCCACTAGTGACTGACAGTGGAGTGGAGGGTGGACTCTGAAGTGGCCTGCTATTGATGGTCTCTAAACTCTAATCAGTGAAGGAGATTTTGTTGTCATCAGCAATGAGCCACAGAGTTCCAGAGCTGCTAGGCCATTCTTGAGTTAGGTAATACCTCAAATGACAGTTATTGTCAGGTTTTTCTGGAATAAGAAACTAGAGGTTCTAGTTGCTCTTCCTCGGCCTTGTTTCCCTAACAGTAGGTAATACTTTTAATTCCTTTGATATCTTTTACTCTCCCGGCCCCAGCCCTTGCTGTGATTTGGACTGTCTGCTAAATCACCTCCCAGACTCAGTCACAGCATAATCGAGATCTGTTTCTGTTCTGCTTGGGTTGGAGCGTCCTTCCAAGGGCTCGCTAAAGGATTGGTGATGTCAGGGAGTTTAATTTCCATCTCCCAAAGAGCCTCTCTTCCCCAACATCCATGCCTGAACGGACCGGACAACCTGATTCTTTCTCATACTCTACAGGTGGGAAAGGGCTGCTGTGCTGCTCTCAAGGCCCTCGGAGCAATCGTCTACATCACAGAAATCGACCCCATCTGCGCCCTGCAGGCCTGGTAAGGACGGGGAATTCGAGTCACTCCAGGTACTTTATGTTTCTGAGAGTTCATGATTAATCGTGGTAACCATTCCTTGCAGAAATCTCTCAAAGGGAGAGAAGGCTAAGACTGCTCTGTCCCCTCCATTGTAATCCCAGGCACTCCTAGAGCTTCTTGGCATCTTCTCTACCTGGGCGGACTCTTGGGGAGTCAGAAGAGGCCCGTGTGTATAGTTTAGCACAGCTTGTGACTTACCATCCCTGAGAGGTAGCACTAGATCAGACTTTAGAAGAAAATTTGGTGGTTTTATTTTTGTGACCAGCTTCTGTCCCTTCTGCCTCCTCGCTTTGCTCATATTGTCCTTCCTTTTCTTCCAGCATGGATGGGTTCAGGGTGGTGAAGCTAAATGAAGTCATCCGGCAAGTCGATGTTGTGATAACTTGCACAGGTGAGTGTCAGGGCTTTGGGGTGCATGGGGGAGTGTTAACTCTGAGGCTAGCTCTTCAAAGTGGTCTGAGTGACTTTCATATAAAGTAAGTGACACTCGCCCTTGGTATAAGAATCTCAGGACTAGAGTGAGCCATCAGAACCTTAGCATGTTTTCCAGAACAAAGAGCCTTTTCCCTGGCGGCCAACAGCCTAGGAGCTGTTGCGCAGTGCGCACTTCCTTTCTCACAGCCACACACGCTGCTGACGACCTGCGAACTTCCTCCCCCTGTGACCTGCGAACCCCCTCTCCCTGTCTGACCGAAAACCAGTCGGCACCTTTGCTCCTCGGCATCTCTTCAGCCACTCTCCTTTGCTTGTAGGGAATAAGAATGTAGTGACACGGGAGCATCTGGACCGCATGAAAAACAGTTGTATCGTATGCAATATGGGCCACTCCAATACGGAAATCGATGTGGTAAGGCCTCTCATTCTTTCTTGCTAGGCCTTTTCCCCCTTCCTTCCGTGACAGCCACAGTCATCTGTGCTGTCTTCCTTGCAGACCAGCCTCCGCACTCCGGAGCTGACGTGGGAACGAGTCCGTTCGCAGGTGGACCATGTCATCTGGCCAGATGGCAAGCGCGTCGTCCTCCTAGCAGAGGTACACTCGTAGAAGGGCTTCGCTGCTGCCACACACGCAGCGCAGCCACACCCACAGGGGAGAGGGAGCAAATACAGGCCTGCGTTTCCTCGAACTCTGCTTTTGGATAGAGAGCTATTTCTCAAATGGCCCGGTCCCCAGAAGAGAATCACTCAAACAATACCCGCTTTTTACCAAATAACATACCATTTCCTGACCACAACTGAGTCTTCGGCTTGTGAGACTCAGGCAGGCTTGCAGAAAATAAGATAAAACCTAGAATCCTGATCAGGAGCTGTAATTCTCCCTCTTCCCACTGAGTCCAGAGGGGTATAAAGTTTTTTCCTGCATTTGCTTGACTGGTGTGACGTTGGACTCTGAGACAGAAGCACAACGCAGCTCATCCCAGGGCTTTCTTTCCAGGGTCGTCTGCTCAATCTGAGCTGCTCCACAGTTCCCACCTTTGTTCTGTCCATCACAGCAACCACACAGGTATGTGACACGTCTGTGTATCCTGCCCTGAGATTAGTGGAACCGGGCCTAGATCAGAGTTCCAGTGAGAGTGCGCTCTGCCCGGCCCCTGTCTAGGAAGTGTTTTTGTGTTTCCTGACCCTCTTTTCCCAATTTAGGCTTTGGCACTGATAGAACTCTATAATGCACCAGAGGGACGATACAAACAAGACGTATATTTGCTTCCTAAGAAAATGGGTGAGTGAAAAACAGAAACCTATATTGATCACAGACTGCTGCACGGTTTGGTAAAATGAGTATCATGAAAAGTATTGGATTTAGAGTCAGAGTTCTAATCTCTGATCTAACACTTAATGGTTTTGGACCTCAAGACAGGTTCTGATCTCCACGAGTGTCAGCTTCTTTATCAGTAAAGTGAGACTAATACTGTGTACATTGAGAATTGTAAGAATTATAGCTAAAGAGTAAAAATGCTTAGCACGATGGTTTAGGGTAGATGTAGGTTTAGGAAGTTCAGTAAACTTCCCACTACCACTGCAGACAGCCTGGGACCAAGAGGAGAAAAAAAGAAACAAATAGGGGCTTTATTGTCCATCCTTTGTGTAGATATGCAAACAGCCTGTCATTCCTGGAGACAGCTGTGCTGTGTTCATGTGACATAATACATCATCTCTAGTTCATTACCTTTCTGAATAGTGGTGCCACCTCCCACCTATAATAGGTCAGCCCAAACCCCTGTGCTCTTAAAACTAAAAAACTTCTTGTTCTCATCTCTCCAACAGCTTATCTCAGATTGGTTTTTCAAAAAATTTGTATTTATAAAGGTAAAGTCCAGGAAGCTTATCTATGGAAAAGTCATAAATTTGTGCCCGCTGACTTAGAAATCTCTGATCCTAAGATTTGAGGTCTTTGTGGATCTTATCCTAGATAAATGCTAATGACACAGGGCTCTTTTGAACTCACTGATGTCCCCACTGATTCATATTATGACTACAAACCAGTTAAGGAAGGTGGGAGTAGTACATGGCACATTGGCCACTGAGGTGAAGCCAAAAGTTTTGCCAGAGAAGGATGGGGAAGTACAAGTGCACCCCATTTTTGCCACCCTGGTAAGTGGCTTTCTAAACGCATTCTGGGTGTACTGAGAGAAGTACCCTGCTTAGGCAGTGTCGAGAGCTTTTTAAATTGAGCAAATTTTCGAGTTGTAGATTCTTTCAGAGTTATTCTATCCCTTGTCATCTCTCTAAAAAAGCTTCAGATGAAAATAAGGGGAAGTTATACCCTGAGGATCATAACTGAAATGGGGTCTGCTCCCCTGCCACTTTGTTCTTCCTAGATGAGTACGTTGCCAGCTTGCACCTGCCATCATTTGATGCCCACCTGACAGAGCTGACAGATGACCAAGCAAAATATCTGGGACTCAACAAAAATGGGCCGTTCAAACCCAATTATTACAGGTAACTTGGGGGAAAGCAAGTGAAAAGAACAGGCTGACTAGCCAGCTTTTAATTAAAGCTGACGTTACACCTGATTTGGAAGAGTTCAAGAACTTTGCTTCAGACTAACAGGGTAGGCACAGAAATTGTATCTCAAGTAGCAAATATAAAGAAGTAAAGGTTTTCTAAAATTTTAGCGCTTGGTCCTTCCTCCCAGAGATTCTGATACAGTTGGTCTGGGATGGGGGCCATGCTTTTTTGTAAAAGCTCCCCAGATGATTCTAATATACAGTCACAGTTGAAAAGCACGACTCATATCATCAGGAGCGGAGATGAAACCAGAGAGGGCATTGTCAGAGCCCTACAGATGCACAGGGAAGAGTGATCCCTGGCGAATGAGTGTAGGGACCCCCAGCCTGGGCTGGGGAGGGACCCTGGAGAGAGTATCTGTTTCTGATTCTCTTGGGACTCCGATGTGGGAGACAATGCTAAGCAGTCCATCTCTTCCTTTACAGATACTAATGGACCACATTGCCAGGGACCAGTCCACATGAACCACACAACTCTAAAAGAAATATTTTTTAAGATAACTTTTATTTTCTTCTTATTCTTTTCCTCTTGATTTTTTTTTCTATAATTTCATTCTTGTTTTTTCATCTCATTATCTAAGTTCTGCAGACCACACAGGAACTTGCCTCATGGCTCTTTAGATGAAACAGATTCAAGGTTTCTCACCCTAGTCACTAAAGAAGGATTCTCTTCCAGCCCAGAAAGGTGATTCTTTCTTTACCATTTCTGGGGACTTTAGTCTTAAGTGGGTACCTTATTAACAGGAAATGCTAAGGTACCTTCTATGTGGAACAATCTGCAATGTCTAAATTGCCTTAAAAGAGCCCATTTCCTAGCTGCTGAAATCAGTGCTCTTTGATTTCTTCAGAGGAGCAGGGATAGTACCTACCAGCCAGGTAGGTTAGATGTAGGTGGTGCATGTTAATTCCCCCTCGATGTTCCAAGCCCTGTTTCCTGTGTGAAGATGGTTTGTCTGGTTCAGAGATGTGTACTAGTGAGTGTTGCTTGTTAAGATCCGGTAGGGTTTAGTACAGTTCTTCTTCCACTCCACCCAGACCTTCTCTTTTTTCAGGTTTTTAACCAGATTGCACTCTATTAAGTTGAATTTGGCTCCTAGCATTTATATCTGTTATATTAAAAAAAAAAAAAGTTAAAAGTTAATACTGAGAAACTGCTGCTCAAGTGGCTAGTTATCAGTTTCTCTTTCAGACCGTCAGAGCTAAGAGTGCAGACTTGAGTCTAGAGAAATGCTGGTCTCAAACTCCGATGAATCTGTCTATTTCTAGCCCACAGTTTGTAGCTTCAGTGAACTGGGGCCATGGCAGCAAATTCTATCGGCTCTGCCCCATACAGCTTGTGCCGAAGGCAAATTTCTTGAGCCATTATTCAGTACAAAGCACTGAGCTCTGTCTTTAGGATTTATCCTTTAAGAGCAGATTTCTGGTCAGCTATGCTTCTGCAACCTAAAATCCTTAAAGGGAGGTAGATGTGGATAGGAAGAGGAAGGATACATCGGGCCACGGTGAGGGAAATCTAACTTCATATAACTTGCTGGAACTTTAGACCCCGCATAACATTAGTTTTTGCAGAAGTGGTACCACTTTTGATCGACACATGTCACAAAAAGTTCCTGAACAGAGATCTTAAAGGGCAGTTTTTGCATAGAGAAAGTGATCAGTACGTCCCAGCTCACTCTCTGAAAGAATTCCCCAGCTAGGCTCTCGCAGAGATCAGAGAGCTGTGTTCCCCACGCCATGCACCCTGCTTACCAGCATTTCTGCATGGTCACATGAGCTCTACGCTCATGAGCTTTAAGTATATAATTATCCAGGATTCTGAATCCTCAACTTGTTCTAGCTTGTGATCCTTCAAAATTGGGTCAGGCATTATTGCTAGGTACTAGAAATTTTGCATTTCTCTATTGCCATTGATCAGAGAGACAGACATTAAAACAGGAATATAAGAAAGGAAAGCTTTCACCCTGCAACTCCCTAGCAGGGACTATGATCTTGCCAAAACTTCTCCCCTTTCCCTTCCTGTTTCTCCCTACCCAGCCCTTTCCCACTCCTTGCCAGTGTGACCTTGCTTGCTTCTCTATAGATGCTAATGGTTCAAGCCCTTTTGCCCAGGGCATGTGACCAGCCAATCAGAACACCACTTCCTCTAGGGGAGGTAGCCTGGCCAACAGTGGTATCCATCGCGTCAGCTATGCTGGAGGAAAGGGGCCCAGGTCCTGCTGCCCTCTGGCCTGCCCCCTGCTCCCATATCTATTACTGTGTCCATAGGAATAATAGGTAAGGGCTCCGTCTCTGTCAAGCCATGTAACAAAGGACACTGTGGAGAAATGTCTGGCATCAGAGGGAGCATGTGGAGAGCAACTTGGGGGGAACAAGTTTATTTTGTATTGAACGATTTTTAATGAATGCAATATTAATCCTTGCAGATGAGCAATAATCATTAAAGTCAAAATGATAAGACCTTATTGGAAGTCTGTGTCATTCTTGGTTGAATAGCAGAACTTCATTAGAACCTGTTTTCTGTGGTGGGGCAAGTTATGGGTCAGCAGCAATATGGAATAGAGGTTTGTTGAGGACCTAATATGTAAGGGAACAGGCTGGAATCAGAGTTCTTCGGTAGTATTTTAAGCTCTGTGTGTCTGCTCTGTGCCGAGGCATTTTCACTCTTAACTTCCTTCAAGAAGCAGACCTGCTGCTTAAGCTTCAGGGCTCCTCACTTGCATAGTCCCCTTCTAAGACCTGTACCTAATTTTCCTTAAACAATGTCTCCAAAGTTATATAGACTTTAACCCTGCCCACTCTGAAGGGGCGGGGCCTGAGGCTCCCCTCCCATCTCTGAAGTTGCTTTTTGTCTTGTGATGTGACAGTGTATCTAGTAATAATACTGTTTGCAAGTAACACCTTTTCTATTTTATAAAATTGGTCTCAAACATTGTGAATGATTTCTATGGAGACTGGTGAAACAAGTACTGTTAATTCTTTACCCATGCACATATATCCAAATTCAGATTTCAGTGTCCATAAATAAAGCTTTAAACACTGCTTCACTTCATTCATTATGTAATGTCTTTGGCTACTTTCATGCTGTAGTGGCAGAGTTCAGTAGTTGCAACCAAATGGCTCACAAAGTCCAAAATATTTACCCTCTGGCCCTTTTCAGAAAAAGGTTGCTGATCCAAGCTTAAAGGTTGTGCTAAGTATAAAGGGAAAGACATGTTGGAGGGCATTTGATTTGCATTCTATTAGGGAAGAAGAGGGAGTCTCTGAGAGAGAAGCTAAGAGAAAGTATTCTCTCAGGAAGTAAAAGATACGGAACAGAATTTGAGCCTAGGTAGCAGTTGCTTAATCCATCTGCCTCCTGGCCAGGATTCATTCTGGGATTAGGAAATTTCAGTAAACTGGTAAAGCAACTTAAAAATTCTCAGGAAGGTAATTTGTGATTCTAATTTAGAATGTGTAATTGAGTAATAAATTTAGACTAATCAATTTTAAGTTGTAATCGATTTTATGTATATACATATATATATGCACACATATATTATGTGTATTGGAAACTATACACTATGGGAACTTTAACAGTACTATTTTTTGTTTGTTTGCATTTGGTTTAGAATTTACTCCAAAGAGGAAATCAAATATATTAAAAATGTATAAATGAATTTGAATGTTATTAATATTCAAAGTCCCCTTAAAAGTGATTAACATTTGCTAGATTTATAAATACAATAAGATCTACATGCTGAACTTTAAACAACTTAAGTAATGTCTTTGTTGCTTTCATAAGTTGAATATTAATTTTTTTAACTGAAGAGATATCTTCTCTGCCCACACAGCAGCCTTGAAGACATTTTAAAATGTGCTAAAAAGAATTGTTCTGGATCGTGGGCCAGAGGGCCCTTGTCTGATCCTGGGGCTTTGCCCCCTCCCTGCCTTCCTGCAGCGTGATGCTCCCTGCAGTCACCAGGGGGCGCGTGTTCTCACATTGGTTGTCACACAAGGTCTCCGGCCAACAAAAGATAATAAAATAGAAGTCCATAATTCCTTTTCTGAACCCCTCGTGTTATGAAATTGAGAATATTTCATATTTTTAGGAAATACATGAATATGCAGTATAGTACATAATACCTATTAGGGGGTGTGGAGCAGCATTCCATAATCAAACCTGTTAATATTTCAATTTAGTTTATTAATATTCATAAAATAAGGGATAAATAATGACTATCGATGGCCTCCCATTAGTTCACATCAGGTTTTGCTACCATATTAATATGTGCCAAACTTCATAAAAAGTTTTTAGACTTTTTTAAATTTTGGAGTTGTGAATAAAGGCTTGCAAACTCTGAAGTAATTAGATCACAAGTAGTGTTTGCCGTGTAACTGGATCCATTCTAAATGCTTTACCCAAGTAGCATACTTGATCCTCATGATAATCCCATGAGATAGGTGCTAGTATTACCCCCATTTTACAGATGGGAAAATTGAGAGTGGGATGAAATAACTTGCCCAAGGGTACACAACTCCTGAATTGGCAGAGCTGGAATTGACCCAGACAGTCTGGTTCCAGGATCCATGCTTGACAAGGGGCAATGTGGCTTCTAGGAAATAGCCTTAAATTAGGGTTCTAATATCAGAGTCACATGTTGGGTTGGGTGAAAACACAGATTCCTAAATCCTGTCCCAGACCTACTGAAACAAACTCTCAGGACCACTTGGAAGTTAAATCTCCAAAGTTACACTGCAGTTGATAGGTAGAGCTAGGATTTGAACCCAAGTCATTCTGGCTCCCTGTGGCCCTTCTAAGTCACCTAGAGGCTCCCCCAAGGGAACTTTCAGGCAGTTTCCCCATGGTTTTCATTTCTCAGTAAAGAGTCTTTAGCAGAAGAAACTTGGCACAGACATGAAGACCCAAACTGCATGTGTCGTGACTTCCCCAATGCTTCCTGAATGCAAGCCCTGACAGCGTAGCCGACCTGCTGCCTCCAAGTGCACTGAGCTCTGCTTCCCGAGCCTGAGCCAAATTGAGTCAATTTATTCATTCTTGGGGCTCCAAGATTCACTGATGAGCAGTCGGGTCCTTGTGCTCTGGATTTGGTTGCTTTTAAATCACAAAAGGTCTCACACATTTTCATGACCGATTCCACTATTTC